GGGTATCAAGGAGAAGAGTGAACTTCACCCAGGAACTTGGCATCTTCTTCTGGAGAAAGGCTAGTGCATTTTTGGTTGTACAAAGGATAGCTGTAGTATGTTAGGCAGAAGTATTACTTTACTAATGTCTTTGTTAGGAGATTAAGAATGGTTCAAGGAGATGTGTATGGGTGCCAAGTTGACAAGGGGTAGACTGTGATGGTCAATTTTATGTGTCAACATAGCAGGCTGTGGTGCCCAGTCGTTTGGCCAAACACTAGTTTAGATGTTGCTGTGAAGGTATTTTGCTGATGAGGTTAATACTTAAAATCTGTTAACTCTAAGTAAAGGTGATTACCCTCAATAATGTGGGTAAGCCTCATCCAATCAGTTGCAAGACTTAAAAGCAAAAACTGAGGTTTCCAAGAGGAGAAAGATTCTGCCTCAAGACTGTTACATAGATATCCTGCCAGAGTTTCCAGCCTGCCTGGCCTATGGATTTTTGGACCTGGCAGCCCCCACAATCTCATGAGCCAATTCCTTAAAATCAATCAATCTCTCTCTCTCTCAATATATATTGCTGTTGTTGTTAGATGCCATCGAGTCGATTTCAATCCATAGCGACCCCACGTGACAGAGGAGAACTGCCCGACCCCACGTGACAGAGGAGAACTGCCCCATAGGATTTTCTAGGCTGTAAACTTTACGGGAGCAGATTGCCATGTCTCTCTCCCGAGGAGACGCTAGGTGGGGTTCAAACCGCCAACCTTTCGGTTAGCAGCCAAGCGCTTAACCATTGTGCCACCAGGGCTCCTTTATATATCTATATCTATCTATCTATCTACATACATATAGATAGATGGGTAGATATCTACCGATAACTATCCCGTTGCTTCTGTTTCTCTGGAGAACCATGACTGATACAGAGATTTTCATACTCTTGCCTCAGCAATTGAAACGACAACTAGACAAGAAATCAGTAAAATATACAGAAGGTACGTGTGACATTATCTAACATCTTAATTAATATTTATAGAACACTACCATGAGCTGAAGGCTGACTCGATGGCAGCTAACAATAACAACATAACAGACAACTGCAGAATATACAGCCTTTAAAAGTGCACACTGTAAATTCACCTAGATGTGCCATATGCTGGGCCAAAGTCTAAATAAATTTAAAAGGATTGAAATTTTACCTAATATCTGAACATAGTGGAATTCTATTAGAAATTAATAACAGTAATATATCTCCAAACATCTGGAAATTCAACATTACATTTCTAAAAAGCTCATGGGTCAAAGAGAAATCACAAAAGAACTTAGAAAATATTTCAAACGGAATAATAATAAAAGCAAAACTTATCAAAATTGGTAGGACCTACAACGCAACAACGAAAAGATAAACAACTCGATTAAAAATGGGCAAAGACACTGAATTGTACATGTAGAAATTGTTCAGCTGGCATATATTTTGCTATGTATATTTTCACCTTAAAAAAATAAATAGGCAAAGGACTTGAATAGACATCTCAACAGAGAAGATGTACAAGCGGCTAACAAGCACATTAAGAGATGCTCAACTCTTAATTATCACAATGAGATACCACTTCACACCTACTGGGTGTCTGAAAAAAATAATAATAATAACCAGTGTTGTAGAGGATGTGGAGAAATTGGAACACGCTTCCATTGTTGGTGGGAAAGTAAAGTGACGAAGCTGCTGTGGAAAACAGTTTGGAAGTTCTTCAAAAAGTTAAGCATAGAATTACCATTAAAAAAAAAAACAAACCCATGGCCATCGAGTCTAGTCCAACTCATAGCAGCCCTATATGACATAGTAGAACCGCCCCGTAGAGTTTCCAAGGAGCAGCTCATAGATTTCGAACTGCTAACAATTTGGTTAGCAGTCAAACGCTTAACCACTACACCACCAGGGTTTCCTAGAATTACCATACGACCCAGCCACTCCACTCTTAAGTATATGGCCCAAAGACTTGAAAGCAGCAATTCAAGGAGATATTTGTACACCAATGTTCATAGCAGCACTATTCACAATTGCCAAAGGTGGAAACAACCCAAGGGTCCATCAACAGATGGACAAACAAAATGTGGTCCATCCATACAATGCAATATTATTCAGCCATCCAAAGGAACGAAGCTCTGGTACATGCTGCAGCATGGATGAACCTTGAAAACATTATGCTGAGAGAAATGTCAGAGACAAGAGGACAAATATTATATGAGCGCTCGGCTGCTAACTGAAATGTTGGCGGTTCAAATCCACCAGCCACTCCACAGGAGAAAGATACAGCAGTCTCCTTCCATAAAGATGACAGCCTTGGAAACCCTATAAGGCAGTTCTACTCTATCCTATAGGGTTGCTATGAGTCCAAATCGACTTGATGGCAACAGGTTTGGTTTTTTATAGAAAATATCTGGAATAGGCAAATGAAGACAGACAAAAGATTAGTGGTTACCAGGAGCTGAGAGGAGGGAGGAATGGGGAGTTTATTGGTTAAAAAAAAAAAAAAACAAACGAAGTGAGGAAATTAAAAAAATTTTTAAAAAGGCAACTAATCATGGGATAGAAAAATATATAAGTAAGAGTACTTCAAAAGAAGAGTAAAGGAAGAGGTATTTCCACAGAGGGAACTTGTGGGCCAAGGGGGAAAAAAACTAGTGGGAGACAGCTAAAGGGATGTTTAGAGGAAAACTCATAGCTTTAAATACTTGTATTAGAAAAGAAGACAATCATATAATCAGTGGCCTTAGGATCCATCTAAAGAAGCTAAAAAAAGATGAGCAACATAAACCTAAAATAAGTAGAAGGAAGGAAATAACAGAGATAAGAGCAGAAGTCAGTGAATTATAAAACAATCCATAGAGAAAATTAACAAAACCCTAAGCTGGTTCTTTTTAAAGAGCCCCAAATTGATAAACCCCTAGAAAGACTAATCAAGAAAAATGAGAAAGAACACTAATCATTAGTATCAGGAATGAAAGGGGATAGTACTACAGATCATACAAATGTAAAAAGCTAATGAAGGAATATTATGAACAGCTATATGCCAATAATTCTGACAACTTAAATAGAATTGTCAAATTCCTTGGAAAAAAAGCAATTTACCAAAAATGACACCAGATCAGAAAATGTGAATAGCCCTATGTCTTGTAGAGAAATGTTTATTATTGAAAAACTTTCCTAAAAAAAGAACAAACAAAACAGTACAACAACAAAAACCTCCAGGCTCAGATGATTTCATGGGTGAATTCTAGCAAATATTTAAGGAAGAAAAATCACCAAACTTACTCAAACACTTTCAGAAAATAGAGGAGGAAGGAACAATTGCCAACTGCTTTTATGAGATCAGGATAAACCTGGTACTAAAACCTGACCGATAAATTATATATACAAAAGCGAAACCTACAGAAAATATCCCACACGAACAGAATAGCAAAAATGCTATTAGCAAATCAAATCCAGCACCATATAAAAAGGAATGTGTTCTCATTGCCTATTTACAGATGAGAGGCAGAGATGTTCAGTGGCTTGCGCAAGGCCACCCAGCTGGAAAGTGACCCTGAAGCCCGTGCTCTTTCGAATGCAATGGCGTCCTAGGTGGTGAGGGCTGGCTTTGCAGTGGAAGGAGTTGTGATGAGGCTCCTGGCTGGGGAACAGCCAGCCTGGGTCCCTTGTGCAGGTTCCAGGCTTGAAGTGGACAAGGTGTAAATGCAGAGTGCCCTGGGCCTTGTCTAGGGTCCTCTGCCCCCTGACTCCTGGCTTCCGTAGCCCCATCCTCCCCCCCCCCATTGCTACAATGAGCTCTCCCTCCACCAATTTATTTCCCCAAGCCTCCCATCACTCTCTCCTTGTTGCCAGGCCATTTTGTTGGTGGCAGGCCAATGGGTGCGCCTGTTGCTTCTGGAGGCTGCCAGCCTTGCCCCGGCAAGCCCTTACCACGCAGGTCCTGGTGCCATGACAACACTGACGCCTCCTCACGTGCTCTCTTGCCGCAGCCATTCGCCCTGCACAGAGACGCGAGGTCTGCCTGCCTCCTCTGCCCAGGCTTCTGGGAAACGCACCAGCCCAGGCACAGGGGGCATTTGGAGACCCCGTGTCAGCACAGTCCCAGACCCACGCGGCGGAGGCCTGTTCTTTCTTCTGATCCTTTGAGGAGGACTCCAAGCCTGAAGCAGCATTTCCCTGGGCTCCTGAGAGCACACGCAGAGTGGCAGGAGGTGAGCAAGGCAGGGCCTTTTCTGTGGCGGAGCCCGGAATGACGGAGCCCTGGGTCTGGCCGGGTAGTCGCCAGGCGGGGTTAGCGGGGAGGAGGAGGCTCGCCGTCTGGAGCTAGGGGGAGAGGAGGGAGGGA